CAACATCGCAACAGGAAGAGCAACTCAACGGCTTGCATGGCTTAGTCGATAGCATTTTGGAAATATTGCCGCAGGATCAAATTCTGGCAACATTCTTTGATAAACTCGAAACGGATGAGAATTTTAGAAAATTTGTGAACAACATACAACGGCCAGCATTCGCGCAGATACTCAGCAAAATGGAGGTGAGTGTGTGTGTGTGTGTGTATAGAATAGGCAAATAAATATATAAGTTAATTTTTGAAGAGAAAAATGCTACAAAAAATTAGGTGTCAATAGCTGCAGCATCAAAGTGAGGTAAGAAAATTTTGTTTGAGATCAGAGAGGACGAACACATTTTTTTTGCTTTGCTTCTTGCTTATTTCTTAATTCGAAACGTGCGCAAACGTGCCTTCCGCCGGTGGATCCAGCTATGCCAGCAATTCGGTTGGGTATGCTTCATCACACCTTATACACAAGAAATCGCCAATCATTGCTTGCTCCCCCATACTTTCTTTTAATTTATTTTTTTTCAAACCAAATTGTTTTGAATAGTTCAGCCATCACACGTTCACAAGAAATTTAAACAATATTGTGTTTTTCTTGTTGTTCGAAATGTGCCTTCACCCTCCTCAGTGCCCTTGGCTTTGTGGGTTTTTTTTTGCGCCAAGCCGCCCTTCCAGCGCTCGGTAATAATTTGACGGTGAAACGTGATCAAAATATTCGATGCGTAAATTTTTTCCGCTCTTCATGTTCCAAACGATTGTTCACCTTTTCCGCAACCTATTCTCAAAGCTTTTCTTTTTATTTCTTCATATTTCTCTGAATTTCAATGTATTATTTTAATATTCTCTACCAAGTTGTGTCCCAATGTGCGTGAAGGCGAGCTCGTGCTGTTTTTTTTGCTCAAAATACCTACCTATTTTGTATAGGTATACAAATCAGCTTCCGCTTTCGTTGTTTGCCTAGTGGTTTCCGTTTTTGATATCCGTCCTCTGGAGTTTTTTTTTTTTCTTTAGAGCGGTGTGTACAGCTATTCATAATGTATTTGCCGAAAATTGTGCATAGGTATGCTATGCCCGACAACATTTTAAAGTGAATTGGAATTTTTCTAATTGGCAATTGAGCTGGAAACGTGATGAAAATACTTTATAGTTGTTGGTACGAATATTGTTTTTATGGTACTCGTAGGTGGATATTATATTGAACTTGAATACCTTTACATATGCAAGTATTTTTATGTTTAACTACAGTACTCAAAATGTTATTGGCGTTCTGTTTAATCTAAATTTCACAATTGAGTTGTTTTTTTTTAATTTCGCTCTGTAGGCTTCGCAGGAGTATGTATGTATATTACTAAATAGATATGGATTTATTTTATGGTTTACTCAGCAACATTTATGGTTTTCTCAGAAACATCGTTCCTGCACATTGCTTGGCTATAGAGCAGATGCTCTAAGCATTCTTCCTCTTCTAATCGGTTGAAGTTGCGAAATGTTAAATGCTCAGATTCTACTTCTTCTACTACCATTGCACATTTCGTAAAAAAATAACTATTTTTCTTTATCGTCAGTTCTAAATAATATGGAAATATGCTCAAAACATAGGGACTATGGTGACCAAGCTCCTTGTTCGACAAAAATAAAAAATAAAAAATACAGAAGTCCCCATATAAGATTGGCAAGCTTTATGATATCAACCCGCACCGACAAACAGCTACTTGAAGATCCAATTAAAAGAGGAAAGGATTCCACGAAAAGTTTTACAGAATGTACTTTCAAGTTTAAAAAGCACTGAAACAAAAAAAATTTACCTGTTTTTCTAGCACTGCTTCTTTCCAAACTGGAATCGTAGGCTTCATAGCTCCGTATTTTTTGAAAGCTGCTGAGAGTCCTTGTTCAATTTGGTGGTGGCCACTTAATCAAACCCTCTCAAATTTGTGCATTATTTATAGGTAACTTATAATCTCTCTTCCCCTTGCAATAACCAGACCTGGAAGGAAACCAAATTTTCATACAAAAAACACCCACAAAATTCACAGTAAAAATGTTTTCCATCAAAATTTCTTAAACCAGTACACTGCTATTTCTTGCGTTTTAAAAATAAATACTGCCAAGGGTTCAGTAAGTAAAATATGAAATATAGAGTCGAACCTTTTGCGCAAATACATGTGCAGCAATGCAGCAATGTCTGAACTTATGGAAAATGACACTCAGATGAAGGCAGTTTCTACTCGTTACCCCTTGAAGGTAGAGCTTCACAGTGTGCGACGCTTTTTCTCTCAGCCTGGATCGACCCAGTAAGTAGGTCATGATGAAAGAAAAAGGGTCTCCCCAAAAATAGAATTTTTCTTGAAAGGATCCATAGTTATCTTACAATAATTACAATAAGTATAATATCATTATTCTGTTGCAAGAAAAGTCTTCATTTGTTGTATTGTGCAATTAAACCTTAAATTTTTGGCTTATTATGTTTTTGTTTTTTGCTTACAGCAATCGATGGCATTGAGAAATCTTATATTCACCTTGCACAATAATGGCATCTACATAACACGAATTGTCGATTCCCTCAAGGCCTATTTCTTTCTCGGAGGCTTCTCATAGACCTACTCACCCACACACCAGAAAAGTCGCAAGCACTTACATACATAAAAAACTGATGCTGGGTGGAGCAGAAGAGAAGGCGCAGTTAAACGAGAAGGAGAGAGAGGAGACTGGTCGAAAAACACGAAGCTGGAGAAAAGAGCACAACAAAACAACAATAAATGTCGTTAGCTAAGAATTGGCCGAGAAAAAGACATGTAAAGTTGAAGAAAATGCAGGCAGAAGTATAAAGTAATGTAAAAGTGGAGCCAAATAAGAAACAAAATTGTAAAGAAATTGGACGCGAAGCTAACAGAATAAAGGCTTATATTGCTATTATTATTAAATTTTCAACTGGAAGTTTTTTGTTTGTTTTGCACAAATTATTTATTTAATTCTTTTTATTGCCCTAACCTTTCAGACATGCAAGCTAATGCCGGAGATATGGGTACAGCACCTCTAAAAGGCATAAATTCATAACAACAATTTGTTAAGGTATTTTTGTAAATGAATAAGCGTGCAAATGGGCGCGAAACGGGGTGTAATAAAAAGCAGTAATAATGACCATTTCTCGTTGGGCCTTTTCTAAATAAGTTATTTAGTAAGTACGTGCATTCCGAAGAGAATACATACATACATATGTATGTATATTTAAACAAATCGCTTTCTTCGCCAATCAAGCGCACAAAAGCCAACATTGCAAATGAACAATAACAATAAGAAAGCAAATAAAAGAAATGATAAAGCGATTTGTAAAATATTAAAAAGATGATGGAGTCGAAGTGCGAAAGCTGAAAAAGGGCAGCAAACCCCACTGCAAAAAGTGAATGGTAAAACTGAAAGTGTTGGTTTTTTATGGTGAGGTTTTGTTTTCTTTTAATAATTTCATCCGTATGATTGCACTTTTATGGCAGTGAAATTAGGGAAAGTAGCAGTCCTTTTTGGTGATGGAAGGTGTAAATGGCAGCCGTTTTGCAAATTGGCTTTTCAATTTCGATATTTAGGTTCATAAAAAGGAGCATTGGGTGCATAATGAGCAGGATTTCTTGCCCGCACCGCCATAGCAGTACTTTATAACACCGAAGGCGGATTAAAGAGAGAAATCCAATATGAACCCAACTCGGACTTATCAACTTTACTCATATTTAGAGTACCGGGTTTGCTGCTTGAATCTAAGTTCGCAATACTAAAATTTTATATTTCTTATCGTTTACGAAGCAAGAAGAAAAGTCAAAATAAAAAAAAATAATTAATTGTACGGGGAGGCCTCGATGGTGCAGGTATACGACATCCAAAAATTCAGTAATCCGATTTTTTATTACGCTTTCAACTTGTTTAACTTTTTGCATAACCTAAGTTTTTCTTTGTAAATTCAACTGAAATTAACGCAAAACTTTGTTTTGTACTTGAGTTCCAACAAAATAGAAAGGAGCTTTCCTTGTAGATACGAGTATAACTTAGGACACGTTAGCTTGGCTGACTCGTTAAATCTCACAAAGGCCGTGAGTTTATCCCTAGTGCGCCTAGGCTTAAACCTAAGTCATGCTCAGCGTTGCCGCTTTGATGATTTTTAACCAAAATTGGTAATTTTTTTATCTCTTTATCAAATCTGGTAATTTGGATTTTAATTTGGTAATTTATATGATTTGAGACAGTACGTCAACTAAAAAATGTTACTGTCTTCTAACGGCAGTGTTGTTTTCGTGGCATCTGTCTAGCCTTTAGTTGACGTTTCACTTACTGATGCCAAATTATCATGGCACCACTCAGCGTACGCCACTGAACGATTTTATACTTTTTCCTAAATTCGCAGGCCTGTGCTACTAAGCCGCAATTGACTGATGTCATTAGTGATTGAAACTTGCGCCACTCAGATCCTTGCCCCCATAAGACGTAGTTGTGGACCTATAAACGATATTATATTCCATACACGGGCGCTATAGCCGAGCGATTAGCGGCGCGTACTACCACTCCGAAGCACGAAGGTTCGATCCCTGGTTAAAGCAATATCTAAAAAAATTACAGAAAAAGGTTTTTTTCTGAACAGCGGTAACGCAGCGGTATCGCTTAGCACCAAGTGAATTTCTGCCTGGATTTCGATGAAAATTTTCTCAACCTGGATAGAGTTGCGGCTCCGGAAAAAGTACAGCATTCCCCTCGCTTTCTCTTATTTCAGATGGCTCCTTTGAAAACTACTGACTCTTTTGAAAACTGCCCTGAGGAACGATAAAGTCTGAGGCATGCGGTTTTTGGTCAGATGGCTACTATGTATATTGCTGTAATTGTGAAAGGCATTGGAATCTCCTGCACATGCAGCCTCCACGTCAGTGGACTGGCCCCCATAACTCCTAGATACAATACTAGTAAATGCCTATGAAGTGTGATTCATAATAGTTCCTAGCTTTTATGTAGTCCGGGTTCCAATCATGTATTTTCTTGGAAATTAGTTCAATATTCTCTCGAGTATTCCACTTAAGGATCTGCTTCTCATCCGATTTGTGGCGTGCGCCTTGATATTGTCACACTGAGGGGAGCGACCTACAGTTTTACGCCGACTCCGAAAGCGATTGAGTTTTTACGAGAAGCTATTTTTTATGGCAGAAATACACTCGGAGGGGCGACCGCTTGAACCCAGGCCCTGCGGAATGGTAGTGCGCGCTGCTAACCACTACACCACAGCGGCCGCAAAAAAACTACTATGGATGGCTATAAGCGTTTAATCTTAGGGTCATCTTGGGAAAGAATCTCAGCTTGCCTTCCCTGACATTAGCGTTGAAGTACACTCAGCCAACACTGTGCAACAACTCCAAAGATTGGTACTATATCAATATATTGTGAATGATTCTAGGCCCTCTAATAATGTCTCGATCTCGTTATTCTCGTCTCGTCAGATATTACATTTATGTAAATATTATGAACTCCTAAGTGAAATTATCTTGTATATATACATATATGTAACGAAATATGTCGAAATTCAGCACATATGTATGTATATACATACATTGTTATGTGTAGTAATTTATTAATACAGTCACTGTTATGTTGCGTGAAAAATATGACACCCCAGAGAATTGAACTCCAAACCAAAATCAGTATAGACAAAACCCAGGTGATATGCGTGCAACAGAAGGCAGATGCGGTGGATGCTTAGGCATTTATCAAGCGATGAGGCGCAAAATGCGATTTGCCTACACACAAGCGCAGCGCCCCACTTCAAAGGCATCTATTTAAGCAGAATGAAGTCATTTTAGCGAAGAAAAAAGTATGCACTTAACGGGAAAGTTTGCCCAAAGGTAAGAAAAGTTTTGCTAAAATACAAATACAAAGCCCAAGGCATACATACATACAAACAAACAGGGATGCGAAAGTAACCGCTATGCTCCGAAGCATCTGCGACGCAACAGTTGAGCGCGCGCTGGCTATGGAGATTGAACCATGAATACCCCCATAAATCACTGACGAAAACTTTTTAACCACAAAAACAAAAAGTAAAAAAAAAATATAAATTCTCAAACACAAATAAAAAGAATGAGTGGAAACCGAAGAGTGTTCGGTCTAAATTGTGCGGGTTAATTCGCTTTGAAAAAAAGTAAATGTTTAACTTTTTGGCATAAAAATTGCAAAATGTCATTGGACTCGCTGGTTAGTAAGTGGCGCGTAGAAAATTTGGCGCGGTATTTATCTTAAAAATCTTCAAAAACACGAAAAGTAAAACAAAAATTTTTTTGAACTTTGCAAGAGTAGCACAAACAAAAGGAACAGCAGAAAGAGTGGCGGAGTAAACTAAAATAAAATATGTACATACTTCGAAATGATTCTCCCATGGGTGCAATTATTTGCGCAAAGAAGTAAAGAAGAGAAAATAATAGGAATATCTCATTGGCAGTAAATAATTGTTCCATACTTGTTTGCGAACGACTTGCAATGACTTTGATATCAACCACCAGCATGCCTACAAGCACCCATATTCCAGCAGGTAGCTGTACAAAGTAGATAGTCTTTTGCAAATTGTAGCATATGCGTTGGCGCTCAAGCGTAGCGAACCAGCAAAAGGTTAGATTTTTTGACAATGAAGAAAGGGTTAAAATGCTGCCGTCCAACTCAGTGCACTAACAGATGCCCGAATGTGGTTAAACGCTCGTGAAGATGCCGCATTATACGTAAACGTATGTAACAGAGTAGTTTTCAAATGGCTTAGCAGGTGTACAAGCAATTACTTTTAAATTGGTTTCATCCAATGGCGTCATTATCCTCATTCAGTGCTTATAACTAAGAAGAGCTGATTTTATGGTTCTCAGAGCTGCGCGGCGAAAATATTGCTTCTGGATTTTTAGATTTAGCTGAGAAAATCAGCCCAGAACTTAAATTTCTTATATTTTTTTGTGACGGTCAGTTTTACCGATTTGCTTCTCCAACCAAAATCGGTAGTATTTCTCTCCTTAATAGCTTGGAAATATTTGTATAATATCCTCCGTAACTATTTGAAAAAAACCAGAGACCAGGAATAATAATTATTTCATGATATAGTTTTAAAAAAGTCATCCAAATTTTCTTAAGAATTATAAAAGTCATTTGATAATAATGATGTGTGAGACAATTTTTTTAAGTCATCGAAAACTATTATTTTAAGACCTTTATAATAGAAGTCTTTTCCTGATAATTATCAGCGAGATAAATATTTTTAAGTCTTCAAAGACTTTTATTTTGAGACTTATATTATAAAAGCCTTGTCATAATAATTACCATTGAGATAAATATTTTTAAGTCTTCAAAGACTTTTATTTTGAAACTTATATTATAAAAGTTTTTTGATAATAATTGTATATAGTCCCGAAAAAATCGAAAAATACTTATCTTAATATAATGATTATTGATTGCCTTATATTCTCTTCTCTTATACTGGTTATGTCTCTTAAAAAAAACAAATTCATCGAACAAACTTTTATTTATGCATATTATTCAATGAAGATATAAATGTAAGCTCAGCTTAAGTCTCCTCATTGCTACGCGACACTTTGAATCCAAATCTGCCAATCTGACAAAGTTTACCCGTGAGAGAAAAAAAAAAAATCCATGACAGCATGTATGTTTCTGTGTCCCACATTTAAGCATATTTAAGTATAAGTAATGTTAACAGCTAAAACTTGGTCAAATAAAAGGAGATAAGCTCTTTTCCCTCGTTGACTTAACTTTGAGTAAATTTCAATTAATATACAAGTAAGTTTTAGGCAAAACACTAATCCAATGTTCGGATCTAAACCAAATTAATGTGGGACCACCTCTGAGGTACAACCTCTCCATAAAGAAAAAGAATTATAGAAATCGGTTGACGTGGTCCAAATTTATGCGGTAACATACAT